TGGTACTTGCATCTATATATAGTTCCTATTCAATTATCCAGATCATCCATTTCCTGAATTCCCTCAGTTTGTTTTTTCTTTATTTCTTCTCTTTCTATCTACATTTCTTGAATCATTTCCTTCACCTGTTTATTTCTCTTGGCATTCTTTAAGAGATTTGGTGATTTCCTTCAATTTCTTTTGTTTGTTTTTTGTTTTTTCCTCACTTTCTTCAAGGCATTTTTCATCTCCACTTTAAGGACCTCTATTCTCATAAATTTGGTTTTAACATCATTTTCTTGTGCTTCCACTGTATTGGAATATTCAGGGCTTGCTGTAATAGGATGGTTAGGCTCTGTTGGTAACATATTCTGACTGTTGTTGATTGTGTTCTTACACTAGTGTTTAGGCATCTGGGTTTGTAGTGATTATAGACCTAGATACCAATTTCTGGATTTGTCTTTGTTGGATGGGTGCTTTCTTCTTTGATTTCTGTTTCTTTTCTGGTCTGCTGGATCCAGTGGCCTGTGATTGAGTAGATAGTCTCTGTCTGCACTGAGGACTGGACTTCTGATGGCCTGGATGGTCAGTCACTGGTCAGCAGAAGGTTGCTGCCCAAGTGTGGGGCTGAAGTTCTCTCTCTCTCTCTCTCTTTCTTCTCTCTCTCTCTCTCTCTCACTCTCTGTGTGTGTGTGTGTGTGTGCATGTTGCCTTTAATCTGGCTGGGTCCTCTGAGGTTCAGATGCTGGCTTGGCTTCTGGTGGGACAGGAGGCTTCTGCCTGGTTTTCAGGTAGCTGGTCTGGCCTCTGTGAATCAGGATTCTGGCCTGGCCTCTGATAGGGTAGAAGGTGGGAGGCTCCCCCAAAGGTGTGAGACAAGATCAATGGCAAGGAGAAAAGGGGAACTTGGGGTCATGCTGGACGTGGCAGGAGGGTTGCTTGGGATAGTGGCTTACCTAGTTTCCAGGAATCTGGCCTATCTTGTGGAAGGCTTCCACCAGAGATGTGGGCCAGGATATGGTGAAGAAGACAGGAGGGGCAGTTGGAGTTAGGCTGGGGGAGCGCAGATGAGGTGGGTAGTATTACCTGGGGTTCAGGATGCTAGTCTGACCTATGGAGGTAAGATGCTTCTGCCAGAGGTGTCAACCAGGATCAAGTAGCAAGGAGAGGAAGGACACTTGAGGTTATTGTTACCTTTTTAAAATAAAGAATAAAATAATTGAAAACCTATCAAAATTAAGTCATCTAGTAGGCTGATGGAAACAAGATAAATAGATTTTATAACTTCCTTTATGTGGTAGCAAAAAATAATGACTATTATATGTTTGTGTGCCTGAATGTACATATGATCTTGTTTGGTACCACAACCAAACCTTTCAACAACTATAAACTGCTTAGGAAAGAATTTATTAAGAAATGCATGAGAATTATCTGCATTCTGGTTAAGAGATGTTCTGGGTCTAATTACATAGCTCTGAGTCTCATTTTCTGTATTTAATAGCTGTGACCTTAGGAAAGCTTGATTTTCTATGTATATGTGTACAGAAGAAGCTAAAACTCTATATGCACATGTCATTAGAATGCTCTGGCTATTTAGGGCAAGCCTAGTTTTCTTAACACACTTTGATGTCTACCAATGTATTCCTTTTGTATTAGTGCTGTAACAAATTACTACAAACCTGTAGGTTGAAGACAACATTCATTTATTATGTTGCAGTTCTATGGGTCAGTCAGTAGAGTGTGACTGAGCTGGCTGCTCTATCTAGAGGATCAAAGGTCAGATGAATGTGTTGTTGAGGGCAAATTCCTGTCTGGAAACTCTGGGATACATCTTGTTCCTGTTGTTGGTAGAATTCAGTTCCTACTCATTGCAGGACTCAAGGGACAACTTGCTTGTTACTGTCAGCTAGAGGTAACGCCCAGATTTTTGAGGATACTTGCGTTCCTTGCCTCATGGATCCCTTCATTTCGAAATCATCAATGAAAGACTATGTCTCTCACACATGTTCTTCATCCTTGTTACTCCTACTCCATCCTATTTTACATCTCTAACCACTCCTGCTCTACTTTTCTAATCTTCAGGACTAACAGCATCCAGATAATCATCCTATTTTAAGGTCGCCTGACTTGTTAACTTAGTCAAATCTGCAAAGCCCCTTGACACCAGTACTTATATTAGTTATTTGATGCAATAAGCAGAGGATGGAAATCTTGAGGTAACACCTTTGGAAATCCCCCAGTCACAACACAGATCATACAAAGCCACAGGATTAAAGATGAAATCCCCAAGAGCCACCAACTCAGACTCAGACTCAGGTTTTGAAGCCTTCAAATATTACATCAAACACAATAGCATTCCTGTTCTTATTTCACATTCCTTTTGCACTTAAGGCTGCTGGAATCCAATGTGATGTCCAAAGTTAACAAAGTAATAGATAAAAATGAGAGCAGCACCTTCCTTCCCACCCAAAGCAGCAACTTTTCCACTCTGTTCTCACTTCTTTGAGTATGAATTGCATCTTTTTTGAAGATAGGTTTTTTTTTCTTGTTTAAATACTTCCTGACCACAGTTTCCTCTCCCAACACTCCTCCGAGCTTCCCCCATCTGCCCTCATTCCCAAGGTCTTCCTCCCAACACATACCATTTCCTTTCAGAAAAGAGCAGGCTGCCAAGAGACAACAACCAAATATGACAAAACAAGATACAGTAAGACAAGACAAAGCCCTCACTTTGAAGCTAGACAAGGTAACCCAATAGGAGGAAAAGAGTACCAAGTGCTGACAAGAGTCAGAGACACACCTGCTCCCACTTTTAGGAATCCCACAAAAATACCAAGCTAACAGCCATAACGTATACACAGGAGGCCTTGTGCAGACCCTTGCAGGCCCCATGATGCCACTTCAGTCTTTGTGAGCTCGTATGTGCCCTGATTCGTTGATTCAGTAGGCCATGTTCTCCTGATGTCCTCCATCCCCTTTGACTCCTACAATCTTTCCAACCCCTATTCTAGGGGATTCTCCTAGCTCTAAGGGGAGGGACCCCATGGAGACTTCAATTTAGACTTTTTCTTCATATAATGTTGGGCTATGGGTCTCTTCATCTACTGCCAGAGGAAGCCTCACTGATGATAACTGGAGAAGACACAGATTTATGAGTATAATATCATTAGGAATTGTTTAATTGATTTTTTTCCAGTAGTGTTTGATTCTACCGCAGGTCTCTGGTCTTTCCAGTCTCTTGTTCTTGGCTATCCAGACAGTGTATAATATGGGGCTCCCTCTCCTAATGTGGGCCTCAGGTGAAACCAGACATTAGCTGGCCATTCCTGCAAGTTTTGTGCCACCATTGCCCCAGAATGTCTTGTAGGCAGGACAGATTGTAGGTTGAGGGTTTTGTGGTTGGGTTGGTGTCCAGGTTTCTCTTGTGGTAGCCTGTCAAGCACCTTCCCATGCCAAACAATGTAGAATGTAGGGGTTAAGGTTCAATAAAGGCACCTGCTCAACCTGTCTATGTTTAATGTCCTGTATGGATGCTGTCCTTAGCAATGGAGCCCTGATGTCAGATCTTGAAGAGCAACCCTCTGTCCTAGCATCAGTCTGAGTTCTTTAGGGATCTCTGTGGGAACCTCCTTGGCCAACAACTCAACCAAATTCAATCCAGTTCCATCACTGAAATCATTGCCTGGATACAAAAGATGGTCAGTTCAGACTCCATATCCTCCATTATTAGGAGTCCTCCTACACTCTTTCTTTAAAAAGTAAAGCAAAACCAAACAAAAACAAAAACCTTGGGTTTGGTGCAACACTTCATCACAAGTATCATTCTGTAGTTTCTGAATATACACATGACATTTCTAAGTAAGTTGGATCTTTCTAAAGTCACACAACAAATGCCCCAAGAGACTTGAATGGCAAGCTTGGTATAGTGGATGGAATAAAAGTGCTGAATTCCCAAGGCTTAGCAGAGTCCTCAGCTGTAAGGTGGAGCCCACAATGACCACCTCCTAGGAAGGTGGAGTGACTGAGAATCTGAAAGTGCCCTCAGGCTCTGGGCTAATCCTTCTGCCTGCTACAAGGTACTTTACACCTATCATTATAATAGTGGTGAGGTGCTTTCTTCAGAAAGCCATTCCATGTTTTCTCCCACAAGAGCACTTTAGATAGAGAAGACATTCCTCAAACCAGCTACCTAGTTCAGTCCCAGGCACCACTGAGGCACCCTTAACTCATAAAAACCAAGTGAAATTGTTCTGAATTTCAATAGCCCAGCAAGATACTAATACTTATTTAGATGTGAATGAAAACATTTGTCCAGCTTTTTTTGTCCTCCCCTGTACACAGGCTCCTCCTGTGAATGAATAGTCCTCAAAGCTTCTGCCTCACTGACCCAGACTAAAACTTAGCACTTCCTTTTTTCTCTAAAAGTGTACTTTTATTGAATTATGAAGAAAATTAATAAAGATAATCTATTTCTCAGATTAAATATAGATGATATATATATATGTACATATATAATATATATTAGAATATGTATTTTATATTTAGTTTCTGTATGTACACATTTGTAAGTAAATTGGACTTTTCTAAAGAAACACAGCAACTAGACAGACAACTAAAAATAAATATATATTTTTTGGTTTTCCAAAGTCTTTTGGTAATGACTCAGTAGTAGGAATTCTTCTGCCTTCAGTTACCTCAACTTCACCAACTCCATTTTTAAACCATTTTCCCATTGGCTTGCCCAACTTAAAAAACCTTTACATTCCCAGAGTGAAGCAATCTTCCTGAATTCTGTTCCCTAATATAATACATGAACTGATGAGGTGTCCCATGAACCAGAGCCTTTACTGTATCACAATTCCTCATACATATGTCCTAAAAACAGAATCAGCCATTTTCTATTAGCTATGACTTACCAATTTCCTGACTTGTGCTCCAAACACTAAATGGTATTGTTCTCATAGTTCTGTGGCCCTGTTCTTAAAGGAATTGCCTTTGTCATATTTGTTTTTGTTCCAAAGGTGTCCCTCAGCCTAATGTAACTTGGTTGAAGAGAGGAGGATCTCTGAGTGACAATGTTTCCTTGCTTTTCAATGGATCCCTGTTGTTGCAGAATGCTTCCCTTGAAAATGAAGGAACCTACGTTTGCACAGCCACCAATGCTCTTGGGAAAGCAGTGTCAGCCTCTGTGCTCCATGTACTGGGTGAGTGCCCAATTTTAATTGTTCCTGATGTGTCCAGTATTGTGTAAAAAGTAGCACCAGACTTGTTGGGTCTGGAGTCAAAAGTATGAATGATACAGGTGTTTCACGGTTCTCACCCCTGCCATCACTGCCTACTTAAAGTCACTTCTAACATGCTTCATACAAGTTGTTTTCTCAGAAGGTTGTGATTGTGAAGCGACTTTTCTGCTCAACATGCACTTTACTGCCCAGAATTAAGACTTCATGTTCTGCCTCTATATCTACTTAACTCTCAACCCCAATTGTATGTGAGTGCTGTATTGAGGTCTTAGTCAAGATGATTTTTCTGGTCCTATGAAACAGGTTCATGTACATACACACTCACTTATACACAGACTCAGACACACATGCACAAAGGCATACACATACCCACCTACTTCCAGACCTGTGTGAGCCAAAGCATCCAGGGACACACAGCATTCTATTAGAAAAAGTTCCTCTCTGTAGTTTCCTTCTAGAACACACAAACTGGAATGATGGTTTTTGATTGCTCAGATGGGTTACACATTGTTTCCTTAGAACGAAGAGGACTGAGCAGTAAGACTGTATTTCCTAAGGCTCAGAAAAAGTGTGTTCTCCAGGTATCCAACAGCAGAGCCAACAGCAACAACTCAACAAGAAAGACCCTGCCTCAAGGTCTGGAATTTTGACTGTTTAGAGATTTCCTTTCTGGGGGCATGCATTTTGGGGGGGGGCTGGGAGACCTTTATGATTTTTCTCTATGTAGTGTACTCTTACAAATTTACTCAGGTTTTTTTCTTGACCCTCAGACTTTGGTAGTTCAATATAATCCTTTCACAATGGGACAGTTTTTGAAATGAGGCAGCTCACAGAGCTCATATCCCTTAAACACATTATTATTTGTGATGGTGTAGATATTGTTTTTCCAATTTCAAAACTACCATCACTTGACCAGCATGAGGAAGTTCTCCAGAGTTGTGGCCTCAGTCCTCTCATTTTCTATTCACACACAAATTTCCCATACATACCAATTTGTTTGCATTGGTATATGATCAAAAGAACCTATACCAGGTGTTCCAGGCATGTAATGCTCTTCTGAAGGTCACGGGGAGTAAGGTAGAGGTAGAAAATCAGAAAGAACAATCAGGAAAACTGGTAATGATATCAGCTCCTTGTTGTCACTCAAAATTAGGTTGTGATGGCCAAAGGACAAACCAAAACTACTGTCAGATCATATGTTTTATTTTATGGAATAGTTAGAGCAATGAGGTCATTTTGGGATTTGAAATTCTGAGGAATTCCTCACAGCTATACAATGTATTGTATAGACTATCATCCTTTATGTAGGGGGTACATACATGTAGAAGGTATAGTTTCTAAGACCCTTACTTCCTGAGATTCAAGGGAAAGGACAGGAGAGGTATATGGTGATAAGCTGTTCATCAACTCTGCACCATGTGTTACTGATGACACTACTTAATTCATTTAGATGTAATGCTACCACCATTACACAGTCAGTTATTTATTCATTTGACATTGAGTGACAAGTGCTAAGTACTTGCTTCTCCTAGCACTGCAGCCCTATCGTCTTAGTCATAGAAAGGCTTACAATCTAAGAAGGAAACAGGCATGAGAAGAGTTCTTCTAAGGCAGTGTAGTGACTACCATGAGAAAAACATGGCTAAAGTGAAAAGACATTGCTAAAGAATATCCCCAACCTCTTTTCTGGAAATGTCAACTAGGTCTTCATGTATGTCATGACATTTGTTCCAGGAAGAAAGAAGGACCTACCAATGAGAGAAACTAGAATGTAAGACAATATTTAGATGTTGTGTTGCCATAGGTACAAAGACAATTAGAACCCCTGCAACGAATAAAACTGCAGGCATTCATGAGGTCAATGCCACTGCAAGGACAAGACTTTGCTGTAGATAACACTTGGCTAATTGGAACTATTTACATCATTTTAGTACCTTGTACCCAGATTCAGAAATTAGCTATGCAGAAATGTATAATCATACTTAAAAGGGCATACTGCAATTATGCCAGCCTTTTGGTGATGAATTTGGCTATCATTTTATAGAGAATCATTTGTTAACCAATGTTGCTTCAATGACTTATATATGGCATAGCCTGTTCTTTTGTTGACTAGGACAGCAAATATGGATTTGACCTTCCAGTAGGAAAGATGAACAAGAAATAAGTAAACAAATAAATATGTGTCTATTTCTCTGTAGTTCAGCACTAGGATGAAGTGATCAGAGCAATGGGGTTTATAATGTTTGGTAGTAGCTGCTCTGGGGAAAATAGTCAGGACAGACCTCCTGGGGAGAAGATACGGTAGCCTAGACCTAAAGGATGAGCTGGAGCCCTCTGTGCAACAGGGTGAGGAAGGGGTATTTTCAGAGGGGGATTAGTTAGCACAAACTACACATTGAAGGTAGCCTGATGTATACCCCAGGAACAAAGAGAGTGTGCATGCAATGAGGGTACAGAAGGAAAAGGAAGTTGCTAAGAACCAACCATCCAGGGTCAAGTTAAAATATAAAGAGTTACCAAGGAGTTTTATATGGGAGTATCAATCTATGATCTACTTTTCAAATGCAACTGGAAAAATATTGGAAGAGCCTATTTCCTCATTCTAATGATTTCTCAACTGAGTGATTTTGGCCTGTCTGTAGCAGAACTTATTTCTGATGAAGAACTGTATGAAAAACATAAGGAACTCCTTCAAGTTAACATTGGCCACCACTCCCTGACTACAAAACAGTATACAAAAGCCCCTGATGGACTCTTCATAAAAAGTAACATACAAGTGTGTTGTGTAACACTGTTCCTGGGAAGACCTGAACAAATATATGCTCACCACAGATAGGGAACTGACAAGAGACCCAAGTAAGGACATCAACAAAGTGCAACTTGGTAAACCAACGAGTTAACTTATGGGAATATGGGCAAGGGCTACTTGCAGGAGTAGGAATGACTCAAAGGGAGCTGCAACACTGAAAGTCTTCCACACCCTGCTAATATGGTGTCTATGACAGCTGGAACCATGGAGCTCACTGCAGGACTTTCAGGCTGCCCAACAGGTCTGAGTGTTGCTTCAAGTAGCCTGACTTGTAAATATCCTCAGCAGCCCTTATTGCTCATATTGCATCAGGGAAGAAGGAGTCTTGTGCTCCTGGGTCTCACTGAGCCTTAGGGGAAATTGCTGCATACAAAGGAGGCAATGGGGAAATGCAGATCAAAACAAGATATAAGTTCATGCCTACTGGAATAGTTGAAAACAAAAACACAAACTAAATTCCAGCAAGCAATAGTTCAACTAAAGTGTCTATATGATGGTGAGCTATGATTACACTGGAAGACTGTTTGACACTTTGCAGTTAAACACACACCCATTCTTGACCCAGACATTCCACTCATAAGTGTTCATTCAAACACAGTGAAAACATGCTCACAAAAAAGGTTTGAGCTCTCATCCTAGCTGTTGACAGCAGAATGAAAGACTACAGTGTATTCAGAAATGGTGGATTATTTGGCAGTAAAAGAAGATAACACTATTGATACTCCAATTGATATGAGTGAATCCCCAAACATAGTATACCAAGCAAAGGAAGCTAAATACAGAAGCCCAGGAAGAAGTGTAGCCAAGATATAATGATAGTTTAAAAAAAACAAAACAACATATGGTCACCTGGTAGGGGAAAGGTTCTGATTGGAAAATGGCAAAATGAAAGCTTTAGGGGGTGTTAAAAATATTCTTCGCTTTGCTGTGGGTTGTAGATAAACGAGTTTAGACCATCATGGAGCTAATAAAATTGAGATCTGAGCATTTTCTTGTACATAAATTATACTTTAATAAGTGCCCAATCTTTTTAAAGAAGGCACATGCACCCTGCCTTGCACTGAGGCCTGAAGTTAGACACATGTGGGTTCCAATCTCCTTGATACAAAATAGACATCAGGGAATTTACTTAGCTTCATTCAATCTATCTACCTCTGTAAAGAAAAATAAAATTAGCACCTTCATAACAGTCAATGGAAGATTAATTTCTAAAGTGTCTAACCTACTACCTGTTCACCCTAGAGAGTCTCAGTAAATGGCAACCTTGAAAAAAAGTCTGTTTTTAAATAAACTATGATTCTGAGGGTCCAACTGCAGGTATAATTTATGGTTCTACTCTGCAAATGATGCCATGTGCAATTTAAGGTAAAACTCAAAAACTCAGAATGGAAAACAATAAGTTAAAGAAACCATTCCATTCTGGGAGAGATCATGTAGACACAGCTGGTAGCTATCAATTATTCATGATTATTGCAGGGAAATTTGGCATTTTCTGTGGCCATCCACAAACCTGTCATCATTGTGTCCTACCTCATCTGTTACTGAGTGTCGGCAGGGAAGGGTAACACGAAAGCTGTGATTACTGCGGGGGGGGGGGGTTGTGCTTGGCTTCTATGTCTATAGGAAACCCCATTTTACCTTTCCAGATGTCTCCAGAGCAAATTATTTATGCAGTTGTAGGGCTGATGTGATGTTTGGGTCAAGAATTAATGGAAAAGTAAGGGTGGGACTCAAATGCATCTCACCTTACCGCTTAATCCTTGGTCCCCATTCCTTCTGCTAAATCATCTTCCATTTCTCTGCCTGATCTGTTTGTGGAAAATGGATGGCAGTAGGACATCCCCTAGAGAGGTTTTCCTCCCTGCCCTGTTGGCTGTGCTTAGAGAATCCCTCCCCTTTTCTTGGGTTTTCCTGGTAGACCTAGCTGACCTACAGTGGCCATCTCCCAGGCTGTGCTCCAAAGAGCCCTTTCTGGCTACCATTTCTGGTCATCATGGACAATAGTCTCTCAAGAGAAAGTAAACCTCACATTGTTGAATGGCTTTTTCTGTGTGTGCTATTGAAAAAGCAGGCATGTAGCTAACCACAGAACAACTCATGGTGGTCTTTGGCCCTCTTGCTTCCAGCGCATCATCCTTTCTTATTTGGGATTGTTGCTGATATTTCATTGCCTTTCTACAGAGCCTTTTTGGAAACCTGGTAACTGGACACATTGTTCTGCCACCTGTGGCTCCTTGGGAGTCCGCCTCCAGAGGCCCCACTGTGTAGTGGCCAGTGGGCAGGAAGTGAGTGAAGCCCTTTGTAGGCCTCACAGGAAGCCGCTAACTGGGTTTCAGTCTTGTAACACCCGGGATTGCCCAGCAAGGTATGTATGTCTAGTCACTTTCTTAATAGTCTACTAGCTTTTGCTGGTTTTGAAAGATATAATAGAGGCTGGAGAGATGGCTCAGTGGCTAAGAGCACTAGCTGTCTTCCATTGGACCCAGGTTCAATTCCCAAATCCCACTTAGCAGCTCACAACCATCTGTAAGTTAGTTCCAGGGAATATGACATCCTCTTCTGGCCTTTACAAGCACTACGCACACACGTGGTAAACAGACATACATGTAGGCAAAACAGCCATACACATAAAATAATATTAAAAGCTATTTTTTTACAGGCACAGTAATTTAGACTGGGTAATAGCTCAGTAGCTATACTCAGAGAAAGTGTTCATGTGAAATAAATGGTTGTCATATAGTCTAGCAGAAAATTAACCAAACAGCACAAAAATAAGTAATAAAAAATCCAGTTAACAAATGAAGAGATGCATTTGTATTTCTGAGCTCTGATCTGTGAAGCAGGCATGATTTTTAAGTCCTAATTTTCTGAAGAGAAGATGGATAGTCAGGGGCTGGAGGGATGGCTCAGGAGTTAAGAAGCATAGGTTCTTGTAGAGAACCATAGTGCCCAGCACCCATGTCCATCAGCTCACAACTGTCTATAACTCCAGCTCCAGGAGATCCAATGCCCTCTGGCTCAATGGGCACTCATAGTACACACACACACACACACACACATACAGACACACAATACACTCTAATAAAAATGATAACATTGTCTTAAATAGGAGAACCTTGCTGTTCTACAGCTCCATTTCCTATACAGATGTCTACACTGCAGGTGGTTGCCCATGCCTCAGAAGACTGTGAGAAGCAGAGTCACTGTGTTAGCCACAACAGCTGCTCTGAGGCATGTCTTTGGAAGGACTGTCAATGTTGCAGGCATTCTACCTGCCACATCTTTTAGTAACTACTATAATTTCTAAATGGAACATGTCACATAAGATTTGCCCTTGAGAAAGCATAAATCTTATGGTACGAATCCACAGGGAAATGTGTACATTAACAATTGGTGTTCAGTGACAGCTCTCTATTAAACCTTGTAGGTGGAACCCTCATTGCTACATTGGTTATTTCTACCTAGTGACACTGCTGTCCCTGAGGGGAGGGGAGGAGGAAGACTGGAAGTCACCTGTGCTGCAGCCTTGTCCTGGAGAGACATGTGACTCCACTGCTGCCACCATAGTGTTAAGATCAACAAGTGAGCCTTTTCATGACAGCCCTTGCTAAGGTCCTGTAGCTTTTATTCCTAGGTGGTTCACAAGTGTGTGGTCAGAGTGCTCTGTATCTTGTGGTGAAGGATTTCACAGTCGGCAAGTGACATGCAAACAGACAAAAGCTAATGGGACTGTACAAGTGGTGTCCCCAAGGACATGCGTTCCTAAAGACAGGCCTCTGGGGAGAAAATCGTGTTCAGTCCGTCCATGTGTTCAACAGGCCATCGACCCAGGAAACCAGGTAACCTTAGGTATTGGCAGTGTTATCTGTAATCAACTCTTTGTAACTAATGAACTTTCAAATTGGTTTAGAATATTAACTCGAAGGATTTATTCAACATTGAAATGATACCATATGTTTGTGACCATATGAAGTAATCCAGGCACAGAAAACAAAGACCATGATTCCACTTGTATGTGAATCTAATCAAGTTCATAAAAGCAGTGAAAAGAATAGTAGTTTTAAAGATCTAAGTGACTGGGGAATAAGGGTGTGACCTTAAAGAGTTCAAAGTTGTGCAAGATGAATGTGTTCTGGTGAGCCATTATGCAAAACAGTATTTATAGCTAAAAATGCTATAGTGGATACTTTAAAATTCTTAATGGGCCATGTAATTTCCCTTTTATTGAAAATACATTTTTCCCCATATAATATATTCTGGTTACGGTTTCCCCTCCCTACTATTTCTAGTTTCTCCCACCCATCTGGATCCACCCCATTCCTATCTCTCATAAAAAAAACAAACAAACAAAACTAACATATTTCTAGGGGATAATAATATAATAAATAAAATATAACAAGACAAACCAATAAGTAACACATCAGAATAGGACAAAACAAACAGAAGGAAAAGAGCCCAAGAAAGGCACAAGAAATAGATAAAGATGCAGAGACCAACCTGTTTGCACATTTAGGAATCCAATAAAAACACATCTGGAAGCCATAATATATACACAAAGGACCTGTGGGATAAAAAGAAGTATAATTAATTAAGTAAGATGGAGAAATAAAATTGTAACAAACAAACAAAAAGCTGACATGACATTAAGAGACACGGGACCTCCAAAAACGCCATTGAGTTCATTTTCTGTTGGTCATACTGCTGGGCATGGAGTTTACCCTTAGGAGTAGTTTGTTTCCCCAGTGAGAATTCCTGGGGGAAACTACATTTTCTTTTGAAAATGGTTGTCAATTGGAGATAGCTTCCAGGTTATAGATGGGGCATGTATCTACTTCTTTCGGCTCTAAGAGCCTATCTGCAGCAGATTGATGTAGGTCTTCTATTCATGCTGCCCCAATCTCTATTAGTTCACAAGTATGTCTGTACTGTTGTATTTAGAAGGCTTTGTTTCTTTGGTGTTCTCCATCCCCTCTGGTTCTTACACTCTTTCTACCTCCTCTTCCTCAGGGTTCTCTGAGCCCTGAGGGGAAGGATTTTATGGAAACATCCTGTCTAGGGCTATGTTCCAAGTTCTCTCTCTTTCTCTGCATAATGTTTGGTTGGGGGGGTTCTCCATGTTTATTCACATCTGTTATAGGAGGAAGCTTCTGGCAAATTTCAAGCTAGCCTGGGATACAAAGCCATCCAAGACTACCTAGAAAAACTCTTGTCTTTAAAAAGCAAACAAAATTATAAAGAAAAATACCTAAGAAATTTGTTTTCAATGTATAGAAACTTTTAAGGAAAAGTATAGCATATTGGGGCTGGAGAGATGGCTCAGAGGTTAAGAACACTGGCTTTTTTTCCACAGGACATAGGTTTGATTCCCCACACATTCATGATGACTCACAACCATTGGTAACTCCAGTTCTGAGTGATACAATGTCATCTTCTGGCCTCCATGAGCATCAGGCACACAAGTGGTGTGCACACAAGCAAGCAGGCAAAACCACTCATATATAAAATGAAATGTTAAAAGATAGCATATTATTAAAATGAATGAATTAAAAAGTTGAACAAATAGAGATCCCATTGTTTTGTTAAATGGGAGTACTAGCACTATAAGGACCCAGAAACTAAATTTAAACCACAACTATATGCCACTTTGCAGCCTTTTTTTTTTTTTTTTTTTTTTTTTTTTTTTGCATTAGTTTAAAAACAGATAGTTTAACAAGAGAATGCAGAACTGGAGTCTACAGGACTGCAGACAGGGTGTAAAACAGTGCAGCCTTATCACAAAACAATCTGCAGGTTCTTAAGGGGTTACTATGAACTTGAGGATGACCCAGAAGCTCCATTGCTAGGTGAGTATCCTAGAGCAGTGAAAACATGTACAAACACTTACAGATAAAGGTGATAACCTAATTACTCATAATGACCAAGCAGCAGAAACAACACAAATAACAGTAACACACTGCCAAAATGATGAATCAAGTGCCAACGTATCTGAGCTGTGGCTTGTTAGTACAAGGAGTATCATTAAAAGGAATGTGGGACTGGCACATTCTATTCCATGGCCAGGACTGGAGCGTCTCAGGACAAATAAAGGAAGCCAGACACAGGACTGCACTGTTGCGTGTGTAGTAGGTAAATCTGTCAGACAAGAGGCAGCTTTGGGGCTGCCTAGGCCTGCTAGGGGAGGAAGGACTGCTGAGGGCTCTGAGTTTCTGTGAGGGACGATGATAATGTTCCAAAATTGACTGTGGTGTGGCAAGTCTGAAAGCCATTACAATGAGTGTTTTAAATGGTTGATAATTATATGGCAGGTGAATTAAAATCCAATAAAATATAGCTATAACATAAAAAGACTGTATGAGATAAAGTAAGGGAAATCAAAGACTACACTTAGAACATACACCACAAAATTCTGACCTCACTAGAGAGCTCATTGTAACAGTAAATAAAAATGTAACAGACTTTTCCATGTGCAGTATGATTACAAGGGAAATGAGATGGGCATTACGGCTGCAAATCAAGCTTGAGTTATTCTCCTGTGGCTGGACTTGCCTTAGTGCAAGTGCCTCCATCTTTGCTCAGAGCAAAAATATCCGCAAAAAATAAAAAACACAACAAAAAGGCACGTGCGAGCGTCCACGTGCATGTGCGCACACACACACACACACACACACACACACAAACCCCAAAACAACCCCCCCCAAAAAACCTTTGACTTTACTAATTGTTTTAGATATTACTGTTTCCATACTTAAGCTTAATCAATTCAGTTTATCCCGTCCTTTCCCTTCTCCCCCTGGTGATCTGAGTTTCAAGGAATAAAGAATGGGGGGGGGGGATATGTCTGTCTGCAGAGCTATAATCGGGCCCCCTGCACTTGTCCTTCCTTGGCTGATCCCCTTGAGTAGAGTTCTCAGCACACACAGTATGCCTGAGAATACAGGATGCTTCAACACTGCACTGTGCTTCTGTTCTAGTGTCCTGGACGCTGCATGGGCCACGTCATGAGGACACACACACCCTGTGCCCACAACAGCTCCATCTCTGACTGTGAGAACGGAAGGAGGTACTGACCCCAGTCCAGTGCAGCATGCACCTCCCCCGGCACCTCCCCCCCACACCTCCCCTTGCACCTCCCAGGACCAGAACTGCCTGAAATGGAATTATTCCTAGTTTCTGCCACTTCTCATGATTGAAAATTTCTAATCAGTTATGGTTTACTTAATGTCATCCTTGAAAGTATGCATTAAACTGAAATATGGCCAATAAACACTATTCATACTGACAGTTATTTGGATGTTAAACAGAAAGAGAAAATATTCTAAAAGGAAAAAGGGAGCACCCAAATAGATTTATAAACATATATATGTATATACATGTACATGTATATATGTGTTTGCATACATACACTTACATATACATATGTGTACTACATATATGACATGTGTCATGTATATGTTTTAAATATATATTTTTGCTCAAGCCTAATATTTTACTTGACTTTACAGGCTAAATTTTCCTATTTTCAGTGAACTATTTGTTCCTATTTAGAAGCTGTGCTGTTTAGCATAATGATTTAGCAGAGAATAAAAATAAACTTAGTCTCCAAGGGGGCTGTTTGTTTTTCTCTTGCATGAAAGTCTGTATGGACAGGTAGTAGAGTAGAACTTGTCTCATAAGAGCATCTGGATGGCCAGCCTCTACTACCCTAGAAGATAATCTCCCAGATATCCCAAGTTTGAGGGAACCTGCAAGTTATACAACACCAAGGAATTTTCATTCCATTGTTCTTTTATGTGTGACCTTGAACTATATAACTGTCTATATTGCAAATGCAATATTATCGTGCATATGATCTTGCAGTTAAAATGTTACAATTAGTAAGCAGAGTGTCAGCACCTAAGCAGTCCTGGTCATAGAAAACACCCTATATCTAATTCTTTCTTACTGCTCCACATCCTGAGTCCTGCTGAAGAAGAGAGTGGAATGACCATGACTGTTGGCTTGGTTGCTGTTCTGAGCCTTCAGTATGGTTTGGCAATGTAGAGTCAGCAGTATTTCCTATTCCCACAAGGTGATTTCAAGCCAGAATCATTCTCCCCAAATGGAAAATATTTGTAGCAGCTGCCCTCAACAGACAGCTTAGTTTCCTACATTACTGAGAAGATAGAGACCACACACAGATGTGCACCATCACAGATGTTTTCCTTTGTGGTCATAAGGACATGTTTACAACACAAAAGCATAGGTGGATGGAGCCTTTTATTTTAACATACTATACATATTTTTCTGAAACAGCTTTATATTTAAGAATATATTATAAACATGTTCTATTTCAGCACACATTGGCTTTGTTTATGATATTTAATATCCCATTATTTCTATGATAGTATATTGCTTTAATTTTTTGCCCTTACAAACAGATGCTGCAATAAACATCTTAGAATGTATGTCTTTTTGCTCGGTTATATTTTTATGGGGTAGAGATTTAGAAATCAAAGTGAATTTGTAAGCATGCTCCCTTGAATATTTCCAAATTACCATCAAACTATGTAAACAATATGAGTTAGCTACATTTTCATTAACATTAGATATGTTTTTAATTTTTCAATTTTTGACCTTGTGATCTTTTTCTTGAATCCACCTTCCTTTTTTTTTTTTTTTTCTTTCATTTTGCCCACTATCACCCTTGACCAAAGCACCGTCATCTCTTATCTGGTCCAGCACCACATCCATCCTGTTGGTCTCTCTTTCTCGATCTTTATTTTTTTTTTCCCAGGACACTTTGCATGTTATAGATCAAGGTGCTTGTCCAAATGCAAACCTAGTCCGCTACTACTGTAATTCAGACTTTGCTTGCTCCTAGGAAGAAGGCCACCCAAAATGTTTAATGTGGGGCTACATACTCAACTCGGCTTCCTCCTTCCCTGAATTCTTTTCTTTCTTCTCTTCCCTTTTCTCTTCTCTCTCTTCTCTTCTCTCTCTCTCTCTCTCTCTCTCTCTCTCTCTCTCTCTCTTAATGTTATATATATATCATCACTCTGCCTCCCTTTTTCTTTCATATATGAAAAACACAAATCATCCTTATAGTCCTTATAGACCTTACAAGTTCATTCAAAAGCAGCAAAAACAAGAGGCAGAAAATGTAAAAGAAGGGAAGAGGGGGCATGGAATGATCTATCATGTGGCTCCACATCTGATCAAATTGGATCTTACACAAAGGATATGGAAGTGAAAGGAAAGAGTAGATTTGATTAGAACAGGAAAGGAAAATCTCTCGGAGTTGTTCTCATGTGAAGGTGTCGGATGTCATTCATTTGCTTTCTATAGTTTTTCTCTGCCAGACTGGCCCACCTGTGTCATAATCTGGTGTTCTTCAGGGTTGCTACTTTGCTTCATGTGTCTGGTAGTTTGTAGATAGGGGCCTAAGTTGATTAGTATTGAGAACTGCTGAAAGGGGTCTCTCTGAAGTTTTATAACCTTGCTCTCCCCACAGATATCTACTAGATTGGTATGCTTGCTGTCTGTGGATTTTGATTAGAAGGTAGAGGAGTGCGTATAGAGGAGCAATGGGCTGGAATAGAGACAGCCCAGAGACCACAGCAGGGGCTCAGGAGTTGTGGGATGGTGTTTTACAGGATATCACATTGGGGATGAAATAGAGAGTCAGTGGTTGGTGGTCTGTCTTCTGGTGCCTTCTGTAACCCTACGAAGGCCTTGGATATGTGGGCTCTGTTGAGTGGCATTGTAGAAATAAATCCTGGGAACTGTAGAAGTAGAAGTAGTCCAGACTTGTATATAAGAAACATGAGGACCTCTTGGACCTTAGGAAATGCTGAGGACATGGAAAGGTTCTAAAAGTGATGATTTCCACCTTTGTCCTGGGCCATCTTTTGGGGGAGATTTTTCCGGCAGTCTACATCATTTTAAAACTATCCACTTCTGTCCATTCTTGACAACTAGCCAGGCTTGGGCCCCATTGACAGCCCTTAGAATTGATAGCTCCATCGGGTTGGTGCTGTGAGGATTATCTGAAGCAGTAAGAGTGAGAAATTGAGGCAAGCTAGTAGGACAGTCACTTCAGGGTTCCACTGCCATCATACATTTGTAAACACATGAGGCCAAACTGTGTTTATGTCAACACAACTTCTACCTAACTTGGGTCTCCCCATTCCAAGTCATTTTGTCCCTGCTCTGAAGGTAGATGCCCTCAGCTAAACCAACTTTGGTCTTTGGTTTTCAGTCTCTAAGAGGGCCTGGGCTTTGGCCTCCATGTTGGTTAACAGCTACCTGGGCCTTTCATCCTTTGTATTTAGGAAGGATTTGCCTTCAATCAAGAGGAAACGGTCGAATTACTTAAGTCTCTTCATGATAAAAACAAAAGTTTCTGAACTTTCTGCTCTCTGAAAAGAGAGCAAAGCCTTACTTGTAATACAGGGTCACCTAACACTTGTGAACATCCATTTACTACCTCTTCAATCTATTCTTCCTTTGTAGGAAGCTGACCTCTGGAGTGGGGGAAAACCAGGAAGTGTTCAGTCTGCTCTGTTGGTCAAAGTACTCAACTTCGAGGACATTAGATTTATACCCACTGGGGAAAACAAGAGAAATTAACGGGACTATCCTCTCTGGCCCCTCTTCCCTAAATCTTATAGCCAATTAGGTGGGACAGTATGGTTTCCCAGTTAAACACTTTGATGGTGCCTCCGCCTACTGGTGAATCCAAGTATTGCTTCCCAATTTGTGTAACGCTATAAGTGGGGCTTTCACATGTTTCTCCATTTTCTTATACTTCCAGTAATATTTCAGAATTCCTTAGAAGAGATGCTGGTTATAAACTGTAACTTGGTTACAATAATGACCAAAGGGTTCAATGGTGCTGCTGGTAGATCAGGAGGGACTGTAACTGGAGAATGGGAAGCTATTAGCTTTGTTTTTCTTCTCTCATCTCTCCAACTTTTGGGTCTTGGTTTCTTACTAGCTCTTTCTAAACAGCCTTCCACCTCTCTGCTCTATGTGACAGACGCTATTATCCCAAGCTCCATTTCTTGTTTTGCATCTTCCAGATTTCAAAGAGAAAGACAACTACTGATGCACCTCAAGTTAGGACCTTCTCGTAACCATCTTTGAGGATAGACTATCCTCTACCTTGCAAATGTACTTTCCATGGTGATATGTCTGAGAGAACAAGGACAGAGCACTCAAATTATATCTCTTGAGATGTTGTCCTCTGAGGTCATTATCTTCCCAAACATCAGAAACCACTAAATTTCTTTTCTATTTTTAGATCCTACTTTCCAAGTAAATTTTGATCTTTGTAATCCCTGGTGATGAATCCACAGGTAGCCCAAATGCGAATGTGGTCATACACCCAGTGGCAGACAGCATTGCAGGCCAATACATTCTTGTTATAGCTGAGTGTTTTGGGACTTATAAACAGAAACATAAGGCTTGTTAACAATTTTGAAGTGGCTTATCATAGTCATTGTAATAACTCTCTTCCTTGCATAAATTGATTTGCTGCAGACTATGGTCTGTTTGTGGGTATACATTGATTTGATGTTGGAAGTCCCTGGGAACATGCAGCTTTTATGGCCATGACTTCTTTGTCAGATTATGTTTCAGGGGAGATGCTAAACCTCAGGTGTTGAGTAATGGTGTCACCCTATATTGTATGGTATAGAAGTAGGGAACATACGTGTGTGTGTGTGTGTGTGTGTGTGTGTGTGTGTGTGGCAGTGTTGGTGATTAAATCTAGAGCCTTGTGCATTCTAAGCAAGTGATCTACCACTAACCATATCCCCAGGCCATTTTGTTATTGTTGTTTTAATTTGGGTCTTTCTGTAGCTGAGGCAAAACTTGACCTTTGAGTCCTCTTACTTCAGACTCCCACGTAACTGGAATTATAGACCTGTGCTTCCAGGCCCAGGACAGGTCTTGGTTTTAGATAGATCTGCATTCTAGGATGCAGAGACCTTGTGCTCATCATCAGTGGAGCACCAATGCCTTTCCTGGTGGTAAGGATTTCTTTGCAGTGATTTCACACCCTGTTGTTTTTCCTCGCATACACTTGAGTGTGAGCAGTCACCACTGGCTTCTCGGAGGCCATTGCTCTCTTCTTGATGCATACTATGGCATCTCAGGCACTTGTTGGCTCTCTCCATACACTTTTCAACTTCATTTTGGTACTGAGATACTTCCCCCCCCCCATTTCTACTTCTTAATTTCCATGTGCTTAATGCATTAAGTCTTAAATGTTATGACCCTTTTTCCAAAGTATGTCTTCCTCTCTTCCTTTTTTAAAATATCTTTACCCAATTTCCAGAACTTTCCTAGCATATCTAGAGATAATGTGGGTAGAATATATGGTCATTCCCAACATCCGGGGAATGGTCAGTATTCTCGGGTATCTACTTATCTTTACTGTGGTCAGAAAGTCCTCTACTCTGCTTATCCAGCCATGGACAGTATGAATTCATTTTCTGAGGAAGCCTTTGGCACATGGAATTCATAGTAGAAAGGGCTTGATTGATGCCAGCAAAAAATGGCATCCTCTCTCATTTTATATTTCCCTCTCTCTCTCTCTCTCTCTCTCTCTCTCTCTCTCTCTCTCTCTCTCTCTCTCTCTCTCTCTCTTTTCATTTCAGACCTGCCTTTAGGAGGAACTGTACCTCAGGGCCCTGTCAGACATGTTGGCGTGTGGGGCCCTGGAAGGCCTGTACAGCAGTCTGCGGCAGAGGCTTCCAGTCTCGCAAAGTTGACTGCATTCACACAGGGAGCTGCAAACCGATGGCTGACAGACACTGTGTGCAGATGAAACCAGCTTCCTGGAGGCACTGTCTTGGGCCTTCCTGTGATAGTACGTACCCCTTTCAGGTATCACCAGCTCCCCAGAAGCCTTGTGAAAACCCAGACAATGGTGTGCCTACCTCACCCTTATCACACAGGAACAATGGGGTGCAGGCAGTCCACACACATTTTCCTCAGCAGTCTCCTCTGCTAAGACTGAGTAAATGTCCTAAAATTACATAGTGAATATATTGCATGTTATTTCACTAGGATGTAAATATGAGGCTTTCTTAAGTTTTCCAAGGGGCCTGTGACCATACAAAAGTAACCCCTACCCTCAGCAGTTAAAGAAGTAGCCTGGGTCAGAAGACATGTGAGGATTTGAGGATCCCAGGGTGCCACAGGAAGCCAGTTGGCCATGTAGAGGTGAGCCCACTGTGTTTCTGACATAGTGTGAGGCAGTTGCCCCAGGCACACCTAGTTTCTCATTCATTCTCTAATGAACCACATGCCATGGATTCTTTTCTCTCTCTTTCTTTTCCAGAAAACTGCACTGACACAACTCACTACTGTACGTTCGTAAAGCACCTTAACTTGTGCTCTCTGGCCCTCTACAAACAAAGGTGTTGTCTGTCATGCCAAGAAGAATAAAGTGGTGGCAGGATTGTGATACTGCTGTGGTGAGAAAAGAAAAGTATAGAGGCTCTTTCCCCCATGTCTCTGGTTCAAAACCACACACTTCTTAAAGTTTCTAGAGTCTATGATGAAGCAGAGGTTGAGGCAGAAGCAGAACCTGTGCCAATTTTGTAAAGTTAGCTTTTCCAGTGGTTTTTTTAACTCCAGTTTCTCCAAATGATGTATTCTAGGTTTATCAAAAATGCAAAAGCAGCCATGCCCTTGTTTGCGGGATCTCATCATGAGCACATCATCACCTGCTGTGATTTGTAGACCAGACAAAAGTGGTCCATACTGAAGACTCTGCAACTGAGGATTTCTCTCGTTGCAGAGTTTCAGCACATTTGTGCTGTATTTGCAATTTAAAGGCTCTGGCCAGTAGCTGTTCAGATGTCAGCACTAATGAAATTTTGCTAGATCCTTAAATTTATTATGAGAAGAAGAGGCAATCTCCCTGGACAGCTCATGATACCAGCTCAGCAAAGGATTCACTGCAGATGGCATCTCATCTTCACTCTTAGAGCATCCATAGGAGAAAACACAGTAGACATGGCTGCCATTTTCATCACTACAGAAATCTATCTGTGACCAAATGAGACATCTTGGAAATGAAAGGAGAGGGAAAGCTAACCTTTTCTACTGATTTTGAAGTATATTCAAAGCTTTCTTCTTTTTAGAGCTGTGAATGGAACTTTTTCTAAGCACTATTCTCTTGCACATAGAGATCAGAACCTTATCAGATGTAATTTATGCATACAGTAATATTCCTGATGAGTTTTATTTTGGAAAGTTTATAAGAAAGTAATCTAAATAAGAAACAAGATAGTTGAAGAAATTGTTTATAGTAAATGATTGTTGTTAATTTGAGGTGATTTTGTCAATAAATCCAAAATCAATTAGGATTAGACTGGAAACAACAATTTTGGGGTTAGGAGCTAGAGTTTGGATTTGGGTTGTGCTTTGGGAAAAAGGGTTGGATTCATCTTGGACTAGCACTAGGATTCAGTTAGGCGAGAAAGGAAGTTACATTAGGGCTAAGACCAGAGCTAAACTTAAAGTTAGGGCCAGTTTAGGCCAGAGTTGATCTCTTGGACGAATGCTAGTGTTTATGACATTGAAGACAATTTTGCTGCTAAAGAAGGTTGAGACTAGCATTCAATTTCAATTCCTACATCTGATTCAGCTATGGGGACCTTTCCATGATATTTGACCAATTATGGCTTTAGATGCTACACAACCCCAAATCAATGGTCCTGCTTCTTTACTCGGTGTCCCAACTGCTTGTACACGTACTGCCCACAGCCTCCTGGCACACAATACAACCTTCCCAGAGGCAGGTTGTGTTGGACCTACCTCCTGATCAACATGTGAACAGCACGTTGTGGCTTTGGATTTGTCTGTGGAGAAGCTTCCTGAGCCTCTCTGCCGTCATCTGAGCATAGGTCTCTCTTCCGTTCCAACTTCAGCCTCACTGACACTGGGATGAACACTACTGGAGGTGGAGGGCTTGGTGGTCTGGAACAGACAGGGCAAAGGAAAGAGCACACCAGCCCTTGAGTTGTTAGTCATCAATCACATTTGATTGTTGAGCTTATTAAATTAAAAGAAAGATCATTTGTAAAGTACTCTTTGTATATATTTATTATATGACTCAAAGGTGCAATATTTTATTTTGTACAGTATGTAATAAAGACATGGGACATATATTTTCATATTAACAAAATTTCTTATCAAACTGCTTCACCTTTGTATTTAAGGTTAAAATGAACCAACTTTCAGTTGCTATTGTACTTTCATCTGTTAACAATTCAAATGGCATTCCTGTGTACTGTATTTTACTACTGTTTGTATAACATGAGATAATATTTCCCTTTGATGATCCTTAATTCAGAAATAAATTCACTTTGAGTATCCAGTGTCATCCTTAGATGGCTTTCTACATTGCGCTTTCGCTAGACTTTGGAACTGTCTCCTTGCCTGTCCCCTTGCTAGTCCCGTAGCTCCCTTTGTGAGTTCGAAATCCCAGATTGTCCTTTGCATGAGTTACAGGAATGAGAAATCATAGAAATTCACTCCAATTCAACACCCCAATCCTTTATGTCTTATGAATCCTACTTTTAAAAATGGAAATAGCAAAGTAAGTAGAATTCTGGGATGATAATGAGCAGGAACAAGTAGGTACTACACCCATAGATAGCAGGGCATACGAATGCCCCTTTATTTATATATTTAAAAGACATGTAGGCTCATAACAAATTTGAGAAAGTACAGATTTCCAATTCTTTCCCTGTCTCAAAACATGAATAATCTCCACCACTAGCAACATCCCCTCCACGTTTCTGTATTTGCTGTAACTCATGAATCTATCAGGGCACATCATAACTGAAGTCTGTAGTTTGCACTAGGGTTTCTTGGTGCTGCACATTTTGAGGGTCTTGGTAAATGCAGAATAACATGTGTCCATTTTACCATCCTAAAAAAAAATCCCTCTTCTTTTAACTCTTCCTCTCTTTCACACTTTAATTTTGTGAAAGATGCCTGTTTGGTGTGGGTCTACTTTCATTTCTTGCATGTGTATGTTCAAGCATTCTATCTCCTGTTATTGAATGACTGTACTAGTCCACTGTACTAGTTTTTATCATTTTTCAAAGATTACTTGATGTATTCATGTAGGTCTGCGTCCAGGTCCTATATTCTGTCCTTTTATTAATGCAATATTGATTGTTGTCATTTTGGTAAGTCTTGTGGTTGGTTAGTGTCAGTCCACCATTTTTTGTGTGTGTTCTCCCTCAATGTTGTTTTTATCAGTAAGGGTCTTTGACCTCTCTATAATAATGATCAAATCATTTTTTTTTAGAATCCTGAAAATTCTGGGGATTTTCTGCAAACACCATGGCCAGCAGTGTTGATCTAGTTCATGTGAGGCAGGAAGAATATTTGGTTCCACATGACTTAGTTACAATGTTGGTTCAAATGTCAAGAGTCTGACACTGGATAGTTTATTTCAGGTATATTTAAGCACAGCACAATTTGGGAAAAAAATTATGGTTATAAGTAACTGAATCCCATTTGTACAGCAAATCTTAAGACGGGATTACATTGAAACTCTTCATAAAGTACATGTGACCTCTTCCATAAAGATGGGTTCTGTAAACTGAGCAGTGGTGGCAAACACCTTTAATCCCAGCACTCTGGAGGTAGGAGCAGGTGGATCTCTGTGAGTTTGTGGACAGCCTGGTCTAAAGAGCTAGTTCCAGGACAGCTAAGGCTGTTTCACAGAGAAACCCTGTCTCAAAAAAAAAATATATATATCAACCAACCAAACAAACAAATAAAACAAAAACAAAACAAACAAATAAGAAAAAAGAAAAGATGGATTCTATAGTTGATTGTATGTGACATCTTAAAGGTCTTGGGAAGGATCTGGTGGGTTTCAGTCATATAGATAGTGCAAAGGTCACCAAGCATCTGTTCCCATTTGTAAAGTATATGGGCTCTACAGATTGGCTGAGAAAACAGGCTCAAGGTAAACAATGCTCAAGATAAGGGTCTGGGGAGAATAGCACTGTAGTTTGACTACAATAAACTTAAGAGTTTTGGGGAGGCAGGTGTGTCCTCACCATACAGGCTATTAACCACATTTTTTCCCCAGAGACAACCCTGCATGTTTCACATTACTGGTTTCTGTGGTGCTTGTCTGTGAGTACAAGGACTTTATTTACAGAGTGACATCTCCCATCATCTCCTCTTTTCTGTCGGAGAGAGGGGCCGGCATTCTACTCTCTCTGTCCTCCATGTTAAATCTCCGTATACTGAGTTCTTATGACAGAGCAAGAAGTGCTCTTAACCACAAAGCCACCTCTTCAGCCCCAAGGTGTAGCCCAGGCTGGCCTTGCCTTGTGACATTCCTGCCTCTGACTCTTCAGCATATCCTACCAGCCTGGACTACCACAGCCAACTATTGCTCTTTGCATGTATCATCCTTTGTGTTGTCTGGGGATGTCCTGCAACTGTGGTATGGTATGGTATGTCATATTAATTTGAAGACATTTTCAGCATTACTGTTTCAGATACTTCTGTTCTAGTTCCTTCTTTCTAATGCTCACTAAGTGGACATTACATCTTTTGTAGTTATGTCACTGTTCTTGGAATTCCCTTCTTTAAAGTATTTTTCTTTTTTCTCACTGTCATGATTTTGAGGAGAGATTGTCAAGCTGAGAGATTCCTCAGTTGAATCCACTTAACCACTTTCCTAATGAGCCCACCAAGGGCTTTCTTCATTTTTTTTTTTTTTTTAATTCCTAGTGTTTCTGTCAGATCCAAAGGACACCTCATTTTTCCCTTACCTCCATCACTCACAAAGGGCAGATCCACTGACTTGGTCCAAAATTGCATCTAGGCCCAGCTCAACCTGGACTATAGGACAATTTCTGATGCTTAGATAAACCCAGAATTCCTCTGGAACTTGTGAAACCAGTTGTTCCCCTCTGTCAAATGAGTCATTTTCCTTTACATTTGGCAGAAGGTACACATTGACTAAATACTTATGGCTACATATCAAAGGCCATCCTGGCCTCCAATCTCCCCCAGTCCCTATTCACAAGTACTTGTTATGCTAACATCCTGGCCCTTCTCACATAAGATCTCTCCTCTCTTTATATTTCCTGCCCACCCATATATCATCTATCTAATCTACATATCGATCTCTATCATCTATCTAATCTATCATATCTATCTCTATCATCTATCTATGTATATATCTAGCTTCTCCTATCTCCTACCATCCTCTTGCTCTCCTACTATTCTCTCTTGTAGGTAGCCCTGGTCCTGTCCAGTCTGCTAGCCATACTCAATCTATTCCTCTCTCTCTCTCTCTCTCTCTCTCTCTCTCTCTCTCTCTCTCTCTCTCTCTTTCCATCCCTTCCTCCCTCTCTGCTCTGGATATTTTCTCTTTTACTGACAATTAAAACCTTTCCTCTAACTAATGGAGTGATCATGTAAGGAGTTCCTTTACTGTGCCCTATCGCGGTAAAATAAGGATCAGGATAAACAAATAGGCCGAATAGATGTTTATTCAGGGAGAAATAACTTACAACCTAGACAGACGAACACCAGGAAATTTAACCCGATCCTCTCCTGTCCGGATCCTCTCCTGTCCGAGTCACACCAGAAAGAGAGCGCCTTTCCTGGCCCCCTCTGACCTCCTTCCACAGGTCACTCCGCCCATGGCTCCACCACCAATGGGCGTGGTCAGTGCCACAGAACTATCTCACTACAGTGCCCCTTATGTAGTTTCTGTTTG